GTGATCTGTTACAAAACAAACACTATAATGTAATTTAATAAGTCACATTGTAGGGAATGTGGCTTACATCTCATACCAAACGCCACCTAAGCTCAAATGAGAGATAGACCTTTTTCCAGCTCCATTGCTTGTTCCAGTGCAATTGATGAAAATTGTATAAACATGTAAAAAAATTAGCAACAAAATTTAATTGGATAACAATTAACTAAACTTGTTAATTCAGTTAATAAAAAATCAAAATCTTAAATCGATTTATTCGCATTTACTTCCAAAATTATGAATTAACGAAATTTATTCAATTAAATTAATTTTTTAATCTAACATTACTAATAAAAAATGTCATATTGCAATTGGCGGGATCCGAGGCTGATTTTGGCGGGCATCGATATTGCAATTGGCGGGATGAAACATTTTCATGGGTACATTCGTCATTTCCCTCCCATTTTCTGACGCTGTAAAACAGGGTGGTTACTAATCGGTATCGCCGTCCCGGCTGAGGTTTACAGCGCGTGCCGTCATGGGAAATAGCTAAATAGGACTGGAAAGTTGAGAGCGCGTGGGGAATACTTTTTCAAAGCGAGGGCAATTATGGTGTAACAAGCGATTAGACCACGACTTACTTTTAACTTCCCTGCACTTTCCTTCGGTTTTGTAGGAGTAGAGATTATGAAGCAACGTAAGGGCCATTTCAAGGAAAAGGGATTAAAGTTTATAGCGAAAATTAACAGCCATTAATTAATTAGCAATCACTGAACAGACAATGCATGCAAAACTTAAATAATATTTTTATTTAGGTAAGCGTTTTTAATTAAAATCATGAATAAAATTTTCCTTGTTCAATAGTCTTGAATTAATTCTTTTGTACAAATATCACTTTAATTAAATTTCACACATCATTAAATTGCTTGTTTAATTTTATTAAGTGATTGCCTTTTTTAATTTTTTATTATATTTGGACATAATATTTAAAAGTATTTATGAATTATTCAAAAAATTTTATATAAATATTTTTTTATTATGCATAATTAATTCTTTTATTTTAAATCAAATAAGTTTTCATAATTAATATTTAATTAACTATAATGTTCAAAATTTTTACTTGTCATTTTATATCACATGATTTGATGTGATATAATAATAAATTAAAATAGATAATAATATAATATGTTGGTATGAAATGATGACATGATAATGTGGCATTTCACTTTATACCAACACCACGTCAAAATCACGTGATATTGTATCTAATTATAATTAATTAATAGATAGTTATAAGAGATTATTTAATTAAAAATAAAAATTTAGTGATTTGATTGAATATAATAGAAGAATAAATTTTTTAAAGTATTATGATTTATTTTTTAAAACATTATGTCTTATTTTTAAAAATCTTTTGGGATTTACTTTCAAACTTTACCAAAATCTTGCTTACTTATTTCTTTTTCTTCTTGGTTCTTATTTCCTTGAGTTTCTCGGATTAATCTGATGTACATTCATAAATTACATTCCTATTTCTTTTGACTTCAACCTTAATCTCAAAAAAGTGCTTGAACTTGTGTTAAGGGTCCAAGTATACCAATGTTGAATAACAACTTGATGTATGTATTTAGATTGATGGATAATTAATTTGTTTAGATAGCATTAATAATAATAATAATAATAATAATAAGCCATTATAAAGGCTGAATTGAACACATTAATAGAATAAAGCAAAGCTTGTTCCTTTTCTATTGTTCTTTGCTTATGCAGCCAACTTGGTACTTTTATGCTCGTATCGGTATTTTAATTTTTAAATCAAGAATATGAAAGTAAAAAACTTATATTCGAATATTTGATTCATTAATTAATATATGATATCTCTATTTGAAAGAACAAATTCGAATTCTTCTTCTTTTAATTTTTTTTAAAAAACTCTACATTTATATACTTTTTTTTATACATGAGTTTTCATTGAATAAATTTTGTTTGAAATAATCTCTAACAGTTTATAGCAGACTTACTTGGACTATTTCATTCTTCCTTATTCTTGTCCTTTCAGCAGCCACAGAGAAAAAAAATCATCACCAAATCTTGGGAATGAAACATCTTTTTGGTCGTTTTAACATTCAACAAGCTTAAATCAGAAAGGTAAAAGTCCTATCCATCTCTTTACTTAGTCGTGAAGTGCAATTTAATCCATGTTCTTTCGAATTTCTATTAATTAAATGATCATCGTGTTAACCACTTGTGTAATTAAGAGAAATTACTACATTAATATTGTTAAAGTGTCGATGTGGTGCCAACGTAGATTATGTTATGCACGTGGCATGCCAAATCATATAAATTCAAAGGAATTCTCCTTCCTCAGTAGCACCCCGTCTGTGGGCAGAGAATATATGGGTGTTCCAAGGCCAAATTACACTGCCAGTGGCAAAACAAGGCTGTTGGCATGGTAATCTGATACTGCTACCAGCATTAGATTTGATTGTTCTTCTCGTTGATGGATCAATTCGATGCTTTGGCAGAGGCACTCCATTCAAACTTGTTACTGTTTAGATCGTTAGAGACATGTTAATTTGGTTAAATTAGATAACACAAAAGGTTAACAGTGTAAGCAATTTCTCTTAATCATATAGAATTGGGTTGAATTAATACAAATTCCAGTACAAAAATCACTACTTTGCCACTTTTTTGTTAAAGCAAAGGGGGTGGTAAAACACCTTTACAAATCAAGATGCATCGAACTATATCGGTCAGCTACTTATGTCTCTTTCTTTTTCTCCTTTTTCTTTATTAACCCAAGATGCCTTCCTAGTTTGTTTAGGCGATGAATAGTTGCTGATAGTGATTCTTTCTTTTGTTCATTGATGTGAAACTAAAAATGGTAGTCGTGCAATGTTTGCTATTCAACGGTAGATAGAAGTTTTATGCAGATCTTGGAAGTTGATACGACTTGAGACCTTCCTTTATATGCCAAGTTTGCAGGTAGTTTAAAATTTTTGGTATAAGTTTCTGTGGTTTTTTTCCTTTTAAAACATGGCAAATAACTGTTACAAGTAATTAAATCTCAAGTACTTGCAATACCCTACAAGATTCAGATCACCCTGTCACCTTGCTCGGCATTGCCTTCTCATGGCGAAACAAATGCAAATGAAAAGACTATGAACTGCAGAGTCATCTCATCCCAATCCTTTCCACTGGTGATTAGATCAGGCTAAAAACCAGCCATTGCTATGAAGTTGTCTGCACTTGAACATGGAACAAAGTTTAGTAGATAAAGAGGAGAGAAATGAGAAAGTTGGCATGATGTTTGTTTTCCTTTGATCCAGACTTGGAAATCAAACAAAAGCCCGAAGAATAGGGCCATATTGTATATCGACATGGTAAAAAGAGGACAGTCTAGTGTGGGGCATCCTGTCACACAGTTTGCTTTAATTGTCAGAGATTTAGGGTCATCTCTGTTCACATGGAGCCACCTAATGCTAAGCCATCAAGCCATTTTGATCCATTTCTACAGACTACTGATTGAATGGTTGTGTGTATGGATCTTGTGTTAGGGATGAAGATGTCAACAAATGTTTGTTACTTAACGCTTTTATATACATATATATATATATACACATTAGTTGTCTTTTATTACGATCTGTGTGTAATCCGCAAGATCTACAGCTTTCTTGATAGGTTAAGGAAGACATAAACACGTGACAGTGTAAACCTTCCTTTTATTTTCATATTTAAGGTATACGAATATGCTCCATCTCCATCAGAGATTTACCTGCAAAATCAGACGCTCGGTTCCGTAACCGATAATTAATTATGGATTTAAGATCTCTATATTTGGAGACGAAAAAGAACATTCTTGTATATATGACAATATAAAAATTAATATCTATGGATTTCTGCTATGAACTTTCATCTATTACAGCATATGTTAAATATGTATACAATTGTTAACTTTCATCAGCAGAATACGTGCAGTGTATGATCAAACTGTTATTTTTCCTACTGGTATGATAACGAAGCAACCCTGGGCAAATTCTTGCTGGTTAGGATCCTAGTCCACAATTAACACAGAGGGGTCGCAGCAGCAGTCATCCAAGAGACAGCAACAACACAAAGCTGCAAGGCTGCAAAATGATAAACAAGAAAAGAACAACCATATCAAATTCCATGCTCCCAACAGGATTTTCCAGGTCTGGATGGGAAGAATGATTGCCTAACAGGACATGGTTACAGACAAACTAGGAAACATAAGAAATTCTGGGAAAAGCTAGCTAGGCGGCCAAACAAGATTACATTTAAGGACTAAAAATTGAAAAAGTATATCTTGTATTATATGAATTTCAAATGTAAATTTATACTGAGGTCTAAACTGGTCCATGTTTTATCAAAAAACAGAAGAGTACAGAGCACATACAATCCCTCAAGAAAACCTTTCTCTCTCTTTGGTGGTGGTGGGGCTGCATAATACTGAGGAGGTGCCATTACTGGAGGATGCACTTGACAATTTCCTGCACCGAATTTTATACACCGATGAATTGATAATTAAGCAAAAAATGGGTATAAATTCAACAAATAGTCAAAATGGTTGTCCAAGAATATCAAAATTAAGAAATTAACACTCAAAACGCAAAAACACTGGTGAAAGAAAACAAGATTTCCATGATGATTTAAGAAGTCAGGAGATGCAATGATTTGACACCTGGAGGAGGATAGGGATAGCCGTACTTGTAGTCACTCATACTGGCGAAACACCAGAGAAAGAGTGGAATGGAGGATAAGAATTTGTAGGTTTGGGATTGAGGCAGGCAGGCATGCATGCATGTGCATTTATAAATGGCTAAAAGGAGCAAGGGATGGAGGAGAATATATTGTGTGGAAAGGAAAAGAAAGATCCGGGAACAAGCTGCAAAGTGAAAACTCGTTAATAAAAGTGTAGACCTTCACATAGACAACGAGTGTAAAGGTATAAACCCAACTTTTAAGACTATTATTATGCTCTGTCTCGAGCATTAATTAGACTAAATGTTCTTATCTGGTCGGCTGATTCTCCTGGAATAAAATACTACTTCTACTACTACTACAAAGGCATGGCCAAAAGCAGTGTATGCTTTATTTTGCACTTTGTTTCCTTTCGAAGTTTCCTGGAAGAAGGTTTTTCACATTGGTTCAGATTCCTACAGCTCCTTGCTTCTATAAACCAATATTCCTTGCACACCATACAGGCTTTTTATTAGCTTGTTTGAACTTTAAAGGCTGGCTCCATTTGTTTTTTTTTAATTAAAAAAAATTAAATTTTACTCTTTAGATAAAAAATTATATACCAATCAATAAAATAAATACTCGGATGTTCACTTTATTAGTTTACTTGAATGATAAGATCATATTTTAACTTACATATTTTTTATTGTGTATTGTTTTTGTCATATATCCGTTATATAAGGATGATTTAATAAGTAAATGTCATAATTATAATACTGAAATAATAAATTTGTAGATTATAATGCGAGCACCATCTAATTAGTTAACATTTACAAGAAAATGAAATAATGTAAATGTAAATTTTTTTTAAAAAAAGTTATATTTTCTATGAAAAACACTAAAATAAAGTGTATATTGAAAAGTTACAAGGTTTGAAACCTAAGTAATTAGGAAATATTAATCATTAATCTTAAGGAAAATTTTACCAATATTTATTTGAATTACAACTTGACTTTTATAAAGTGTATATTCTAAAAAATTTTGATTGATTAGTGAGAAAAAACTTACAACATATGGTAAAATTTTGTAGCTTATCATTAGATCATAATTGATTTTTTAAGTGAAATGTTGATTGCTTATCACTGTATTTTTAATTTATTATTATCTTTCTATGGATTATTTAATGATATACATAATTTATCAAATATATTAAATCCTCATTAATTGTATGACATCTTGAATATATGTTTCCTTCTTTTATTAAATTATTTTAATGAATGCATACCAAAATCAATTTATTGACTATTTTTATATTTTATGGTATCTAAAATGAATTTAAATTTATTATCATAAGAATTCAGATAAATAACATCATGTGTCACCGAAATTTCATAACATCACCATTTACTATTTTTTTAGAGCATATAATATGAAAATTTTAATTGCATTGATAACTTCTCCATGTGTAGGGGAACATACATACAAATGATACTTTAAAATAATATTTTAGTTGGTTTTGTCTTTTATAGAATCTAAATCAAAGCTAAATAATCACTCAAATTCAACAAAGAAATTAAGGATATCCGATAAAAAGAAAATAAATATTCAAGAAAATAAAAAAAAATAGGAAAAAATAATTTTTAATCTAACTCAATTAGAATATATCAAATGATTTTAATCCATTTTATTACTTATTATGTATTAAATAATTTACATTCAATATTATGACTTTAGACATGGGATATTCATTCAATTTGAAGTCCAAGTATTTGTTAAAGTCCTATCAGGGTAGGAAAAATGTTCAAAGTAAAGCATTAAGGTAAAATATCAAAACTAAAGAAATTATATTTAATTTATTATTGGAAAAAATATAAAAATGTTCTACTTTATTATTTTTATTACACATATTTATTGTTATTTTATTATTATATAAAACATTTATAAAAAATTGAAGTGTACCTTTGACCGTACATAAACATTGTCTCAATTATGCTCTCTCATTGCCTAGCAAGTAATTCCGTGCTTGCATTATTCTTTAATATCTTTTTCTGTTGTCTCTTTCTTCCTTTATCCTAATTCCATTTATTTTAATTCTTCTTCTTCTTGTTTGAGTCTGCTTGGCACTCCTCAAATGATTCAATTCTATTGACTGACAACTAACTCACCATGTATCCAAAGAGAATCCTTTTCTACTTCCCTTTCATTGCATATCTTTTTACTAATTTCTGATAATTAAAACTTTCAAAATTCCTATATTGAATTATTGAAAGGCATCCATATTTTATGTTCCAATAATGCCAATAATACGTAATCTGATTATTTAAGCTTTAATAATAATAATAATAATAATAAAAATAATTTCAAGTTAATAGGCAAAGCTCTGAAGCATGTACTTTCTAGTATTAGAAAAATTTAATAAATGTTAATTTAATGATTTCGTATCACTGCTTAGTTAATTATTCTCACCGTTAATCTAGTTTTGAGAAAAAGCAACGGAAGAAAGGAAATCATCCGAATTATACTGTTTGGGTCGGGTGGAACCCGGTCCCCCTTCAATTGTTTTTGGCAACTTTAAGTCTCTCAGCCCAATAACATAAAATGCTCTTTCGATAATGGCCCTCCAGCAAGCTGGCTAATGGGCCTACAGATGCAATTGCATATTTGCATGAGGTCATCAGTGGGTCCTGTCATTTTTTTTTCTTTTTTGGGTATATAAAAATATTGAGGAGGCCATAAATACGTATCTGATAATAAGAAATCTGAAATTTTTATTATTTTTATTTCATTTTCATTCTATTCCATTTGAATAAAACTAAATTACAAAAGACGGTCAATATATTTTAATTTATGTATTAATTTTTTAAAAATATTTTAACTATATACAGCCTTATTCACTTTTTTTTATTTAAATGTATTTATTAATCTCAATAACCATTGTGCAGTTCCAAGTCTCTCAACTATTTGGCAAGTGACTTTTCATGACATAAAAACTTAATTTGAGTAAGGGAATTTGTACAATTATAAAAAATCTAGAAATTTTTTTGAGAGGTGTCATAATTAAAATAATAATATTTAAAAAAATAATATTTAAATTATAAAATAATTTTTTTTCATATAATATTTAAATATTAATATATAAATTACTTTTAGATAAATCTACTTTGATTTAGAGTTTTTGATCTCACTTTTTACAAAATTACAAAACAATTAATGAATTCATTAACATCATTAATTAGATATAATTCTAACATAAATAATATAATATATAGAAATTTTTAACATTTTTATGAATAAGTGATGTCATGTGACACTGCTTGAATGTATATAAATTCATCCATACAAAAGACAATTATCATTCAAAAAGCAGTTAACGGCTTACTCAAAGTCTTTCCTAACCGCCTGAAAAAAATCACAACATACTTACCCTAACAAAATACTCGAGCAATGATCGGTTCGAAATAAAACTTGCGGCTGCCTGATCTTACAAATAAATAACACAACCACATTACTATATATTCCTAGTTCCATAGAAACAAGCCATTTCCTTGCAAAAATCACTAGTGCCTGCAAGCTGTTCAGGTATGAATTCATCCAAAAATGGGTCACTTGCATATGACCATCTTATATCCCTACCTTGAAAATCCCATATTAAAACCAGCAAAGAGACATCATAAAACGCCAGCCACAAGAGACCACAGCACAAAAACCACCACACACCACCACCCCACC